CTAGGTAATCAACCATGTACCTCCCGACTTACACAGGCACTCGGCAGCTCTCGCACACACCAATGCCAACCACTCTGATGCCGTCATCCGCCGTATTGCGAGCCGCAAGTACCCAGCGCTCTGGGCAATCGCCAGTACGCATGGCATGGCTTCAACTGGAATCTGCGTTAGTGCCATTCGCCTGTCTTCTGCACTGGGAGGTCCAAGACAGAACGACGAACAAATCGACGATCCCTTGCGTCTCACCTAAGCCCATCGCACCAACCAGCCTGCCCCGGCGTTCCCGCCCCCCCCTTTGGCTTCCCTGTCAGCCAATCAATCACTGAGCCCCTCGTTCCTGACTTCGCGGCCGGACTTTGGGGCATGACTTTTGGGTTGGCCTCTCCTTCGATGGTCTTCTCCATGTTGGAAAACATGGATCGTCTGTGTTGCGCCGGCTCACTAACAAACCTTGATAAGAACGGCCTTTACACACGCCAGCAACAATAACGGGTAAGCTTGACGAGCGTCCAGGGCAAACATGGCACCCACATTGCAATATACAATGCCTACGTGATACTTCCAAGGGCCACAGTGGACAAGACATGTCTATTTTGTATTTTGTATCCTACCTAAGTAAGCATTATCAGGATGCTGCCAAAGGGAACCTCCATGAACGCAGTATAACTAATACTCCGTTTCAAATCTCGACAAACGCCTATCGCATGAGTGTTTACTCTGCTAGACATCTCCATTCATATGGCGCCAACGCTCTGTTGATGCTGCCAGCCTCAATGTAGGGAACACAATCAACTTGACCGCCCAGTCATACCCTGAGATGGGAAACCAGAAACACGTCTAGCCCGCCAGCTAGTGCCAGGCTCCTCGGCGACTTCCTCGCCCACCCCGTGGTCCCCTTGCTGAGCAAGAATAAAAACCCGCTACCAGCGGCAACGCAAGAATAATTCGGGCAAGCGCCTATTAGCCTGGTCCGACGACGCATAATATGATCTCGACATGACCTGCAGAAGGCCAATGTGTTCCCCTCGCGACGAGCTGATGATCAGACACTACTTAAGCTAGTGTACGGCTGGAAAGGGCAATTCTGTACAATATCTTTCACGGATTGCACGATCTTGGTCGCCCCAGCTCCCATAAACCGCCCAATCGCAGCGCGTATAGATGCCATTAAGAAACTCCTAAGAAACCAAATTGGCCCGGAAAGCGATTGACAGAAACGTACACACTTTCAACACATATCAGAGGCGCCTATGTTAACTTCCAGGGTGGCTGAATAAGAGATGTAAGAGACATTGCTACGAAGCAAATATTGGGGTAGGTGGTTTTTGTACTATGGTACTCCGTACTTACAGCTTACATCCGACTTGCTCCACCTACCTGTGTAGCGTCCCTGTCTTTTGCCATCCGCTTGGTGGGAATGGGAGTGCATCATGTGGAATAATTGTACCGCCCACGCACTATGTAGAAATGGGGGAGAGGGATGCATACACTAGGCAGGTGCCTCATTCCTCAACTCATTGCCAGTACCTCCTCAAATGACCCCAGCCTCCAAGTGCTGACTACCACCACACACGAACAGTCAGGACCTTTATTTTTTTATTTTTTTATTTTGGCTCAGGCTGGGAAAGATGGCACTGCTCTAGGCCATCGGATACTTCGCATCAACTCGACTCGGTTATTTGACTACATAGTTTGGGACCAAGCCAGCCAGAGCCAGGAATCGTGAGACATCTGCGTGACACTTTTTTCGCCAAATACGTTACGCCATCCGATGAGGGCAGGCCTACATTGAGAGACTATACATAGCGAGGAACCGATGCCGATGAGTGCGGGCCGGGAGGGAGACTAATGCATAAGAGGAACCTTCAAACTACCGTAGTCCAGATACACCGGGGGGGTCCGGGGGGGTTCGGGCAAGCCCGGCCAGCCTCGGGCTCTTTCGTGGAAAGATGAGCGGATAAGCCGACTTGTAGAACGAACCGGGCTGCTTCTGCTTCGAAGCAGTCAAACCGGGTCGAAGATGTGAGGAATCGCCCTCCCCTAACTCACAGACAGGAAGCCTCCAATGTCGCTGCCCGAGCAAGTACATGGTGGAACATAGGTCATCCAGGAGGGGAACGGGAGCTCATCCAAGTTGTAGCTTTTCATAAGCATAACCCTCCGCCCTGACACTCAATCCGGGCCCTGATCGTCCAGATCATCCATCCCCTACACCAGGACCCTGGAATGGTGTCCGGCCGCTGGCGTCGGTGATGCTCCGTTCCCGCCAACCATGTGGTTCGAAAACAGCCGTAAAGATAGATGTATGATCCGGATCAATCTGCTCAATTCCTCTGCAGCAAGAACATCCGAGTCGATGAATTGAGTTGGAACCCCGGCGCTACCATTGTGCTTACCCCGCCTCCAGCAGCGATGCTCCGTCATACTTGGTGCGTGCATGGATGTATATGTACCTCGATTCCAAACTACCACAGACGCTCAAGTTCGTTGAGGCTTCTGGAGAGGGGAAGCAACGACGACGGCCAAACCAAGCCGCATCCACCATGACCTCCGCCCTCAAATCATCTTTGCCCACTCAAGTCTCCACGGTTTGTGATGGGATTGCGTCTTGGAATGGTATAGTGTAGCCGTCAAACGCAACTTGTGGCAGGTCGTAGAGGAGTCTCCCCCCCAACCATATGTCTAGCTTGGGGTGAGTGCTGGAACCCATCCTCCGTGCTAGAATCTCCCGCCGGGAACTTTTCCCGGGTGGGAGGAGCTGAGTCGTGCGTTCCTTTCGGCGTCATTGCATCGCCGGACCGAGCTGCACACGGTCAACAGAAGAATGGGTTGAAATGCGTGACGCGCATGCGAGGGAAGCAAGCTCGTCAACTCATCCTCGCAGATCACCTCAGGGCGATAACCGCCGCTCTCCACTGCCCTTCAACGACCCCCGTTGCATCTGCTGCCCATCCCACACTCGTGTCGATCCGGGAGCAGCCAGCCATCGGCCGCCAAGCAGAGCGGGCGGGCTGAGCTGGCTCCCCTCCCTCCCCTCTCCTCCTCTTCGCCCTTTTTGGGTCTCTCTCTCTCTCTCGCGCGCGCGCGCGCGCGCCCACGGGACCGTCAGCCCGCTTCTGGCGCTAGGGGGAAGGGCTTATCCTTGGGTACGTACCCTGATGGCAAGGGAGGTACCTGACAGGAACCTGAACGGCTGGGCTGCTTTCTCAATCATGCTACCTAGGTATGTGCCTGGCAGCCTTCAAAGCCACTTCCAGTGTTACCCCAAACTGCCCAATTCGGGCAATGTGGAGATCGCGGAACGAGACGGAGATGCGGCAGGTGGTTTAGAAGGACACTACCTCGTGCACGACCGACAGCTCGGCTTTCCAGGCAACACAACGACCGGTGCTGCCGGATGTATCAGCTCCCTGCTTTTTTGATGGTTTCCCCCCCCTTTCTTTTCTTTACCGGCTGTCAAAATTCTGTTGGCGTCCTCTAGGGAATGTCAGGGCCGCCTTCTCTTGGGGTTTGCTCCAGAGACCTGTTTGTGGTTGAAACCAAGCGGATGGGGATGGGAGTGGGAGTGGGCACGGGAACGGTCGATCCTCCTTCTACTGCGCTGCGCTGTGCTTCAAGAGAGAGCTGTTGCCGCTGTGCTGCCACCGCTGCCGCCGTATCTAGATGAGTTATCCGCCGGTTGGACAGGGGGATCCCCTTTTGCCATTAACCAACGTGCTGGATCACTTAAAGTGAGATGGAGACCGCCAATCCATATATCTGCTAATAAACAAGGGGTCCGAGAAAACTTGAGACCAAGTGGCATGGGCCCCGTTTCGCCTGCGCTGGACAGTGAGGTCGGACAATAGCAACAGCAATAACAAGTTATCTTCGTCCTGACCGACAGACGTTCCTTGATGCGACCTGTTCGAAACACCCCAGAGCCTAGACATGCGAAGAAGATAGCAATACAAGCACCAAAAAAATTGTGAGGCGTAATTTCTTATTTGCCGTCGCCGTCCCTATCTAGCATGGCCTTCAGTCCTGGGGGCGACCGGCGGCTGATCAGAGATGGAGGGTATGAGCTTGGCCAGTGCCGTTAGAGGAACCCGTCTGAAACGGCATGTGGACTGCGGTTCCCTCACCATGGGCAGGATGCTAGCTGCGTGCGAACTTCTTCTTTTTTTCGGAACCTGAGAGTGATCGAGGACGTCGTTTCTCGGCATGATTGGCATGTGATGTTAGGAACACGGTGAGATATGCACCGACTCTGAATGCCTCTCGTGGTCGAGCTTGTGTAAAGTGACATGCAGTTGTTGTCCGTTCATCCAAACATACTGACTTTATGGCTGGGCTTCTCTGTAGACCGTTCTGTAAGCCCTTGGCAGATGATTCGACTTGGGCGTAGTCACATTAAGGAAGCTACCGTACCTACCCGTACCATGAAAAGCAAAGCTTTTCCCAGTACGGGCCAATCTGGTATGCCGCAGCGTACGGCATTATCGACAGAGATCCTCCGAGGCAAATGTTGCTCTTCTGATGTTCCCACTGCGATACGTGCTCTCCTGCTCGGAGTTGGCTAGATTTGACGGTGGACCGTAGAGAAAAGGGCTGGCCAGGGGCAACATAGACACTCTTCTAGCAGGAGCCAAACTGTGCAATAGGAACTGGATCGAGTTGATCAGTAATAGGGCCAAAACGCCGCCCAACAAAAGTGCAGAGTAGGTCTAAGTACTGAACGAAGCGTTCGTTTCAACCTCTCTTTTGCAGCCAGCATTTTCATCACCTCTCCGTCCCTCAACGGTAAGAAATCCCACGCGCCTTTGTGCACAAGTTCATATCCCCCAATATCCCATACCAAGCCAGTCGATGGTGGTTCCCCCAACTCCCCATATGCTTCTGCTCTGTATACCATATTTGTGACATTTTGTTTTGGGCAGAAGGGTCGCAGGTGGTTAGACAGTTGTCGTCGGTTAGGCTGTTCTGTTGGCCTTTTCATCGCCACTTCGCGCATTTGTTGCCTATTGGGTCTTGAAGAGGAGGATCGCGCAGTGACCGAGATAGAAGTAGATGAAGTGCTTAGTTTCTGTGTCGACGAGGTCAGTTTATAGCTTCGACTCAGGATAAGGGTACCCGTCCAGGTGGACCAAAATGTAAACTCTCGACAGACATACCATGGGTTACAAAGCTGCCAAAGTTGCGACCGACAATGCAGTGCCATGTAGGACCCTTACGTTCATCAAACTACGTCCGCGATAAGTCAGCAGCTGATCGCAATCGAAAAGGAGAAGAAGGGCAGGCTGGACTAACGGTCCGCTTGATATGCTGGGCAATATCCTGGTCACAGCCAATGTCAGTATAAGACGTTCTCAATAGACGCAGAGCACGCCGAAATTGCGAACCTTCTCGATGCTGAACTTAGCCATGGCCTCCTGGGCTGTAGAAGGGTCGTCAGTATATGGCGGGATCTGGCGGAGGGGCTTCCCAAATGATGACGTTACATACCGACTTCAATTGACTCCTGCTGCATGTCGTCGGTCTGAAGACTGTCGGTCAGCACCCGGGGGTCACGGCGCTCAGTTATGGGCGATCCTCACCATGTCGGCGCTCTTGACCTGGGCTACATCCACAATTGCGTTAGCACTTGTTGTATATCAGGATAGCAGACTGCTCTGCTGTCGCAACAGACCTTCCAACTTCTCCCTGGGGGCAGGCGAGGTGCTCTTTGCGTCGGCCATTGCGATGATATGTGATGTTGCAGATATGCCTGCTGTTTGCGCGATCGTATCAGCACCGGTCCAGGTGTTAGTTTCGTTTGTACAGCAGGGCTCGGGCAAGCCCCTCTTCCTCCGTCTCGTCTGCTGCTAAGCCTTCGATCGCCAAGGTAAACTCACTTATGTGGAGAGATGAGCCGATCAGCTGAGTTCAAGAGGGCCAGAAGTAGAATGCGCTTACTTACCTTGGAAGGCTCTAAACAAAAGAATCGGCTTACTTGACGAGGGTCTTGGGGATGTGTGTCTCGCGTGTTTTGAGAAAGCCTGACAAGTGCTCGCGACAGGAAAAGGTTCCATTCCAGTTGAGTCGTAGTTGGGTTGCCAGAACGCACGGGCCATAGCTCCTTCCGAGGTGGCATGCTACGCTAACAAACAATGTTGACATGAAAGGCGGGGCTGGTCACATGCTGATAGCGATAACGATGGGGCGGAAGTAGGAAGAAGAAGAAAAAAAATTCGAGGTAAAGTGCAGTTTCCTTCTTGAATGGCAACAAATCTTTCAACATCCCTCCTCTCTGTCTCTTCCACAAGACACTGTGGCCATGCATTTATAGCCGCCACAACCACTTCGAGCACCCAAGCTCATAATCTTCCATTCTTACTGTTGTAACCTTTTTTGTGTTTTGTTCAGAGATACCCCCTTTCGTAATGACTGCTGCCACTGCCGCCTCTACTACCGCAATGGAGACCTCTCGTATTTTTGTGAGAGGGCTTCCGCCCAAGATCACGGAGGCTGACTTCCGGCAACACTTTTCAGCGGGAGGCCGTGAGGTTACGGATGTCAAGGTCATCCCCCAGAGAAGAATTGGCTATGTTGGATATAAGACACCAGAGGTTGCTGCCAAGGCGGTTAAGTACTTCAACAAATCCTATATCCGCATGTCGAGGATCAATGTCGAACTCGCTAGGCCGGTATGTTGAGACTCTTTTAAACAACTTGAACCCCATATGCTTATACTCCTCTTCCAGATTGCAGATCCCGTCCTCCAACACACCAAAGGGGCCACCATTCATGTGCCTCTGGCCACTCCGTCACACTCGGCTGCCCTTACGCCACCCGGCGCCGAAGACAAGGATGTAAAGAAGAAGCGGAAACGCGAGGATTTGGATGAGTCTGACCCCAAGCTACGCGAATTCTTGCAAGTCATGGGCCCTAGTAAGAACGCTGCAAATGATGTGCCAGATGTCTTGGACCCTGTCGCAGCCAAGGAGCAGAAGAAGTTGCTCCAAGATGGCGAGAGTGACGATGAGTATGAGGCTATCCCTTCTCGGCCTGAGAAACGGCAGATGAGGGAGGTGCCAAAGGGAGAGCAACGTTCGATGCCTACGCCAGAGAAGGATGAGGTGATGCCTGATGCTGCTCCTGTTCCTGAGGCTGCGGAAGACGCGCCTCAAGAACAGGCTTCCGTCCCTCCCACCAACGTGGTCACGACAGACGATGATTGGCTCCGTTCAAGGACGAACCGATTATTGGATCTAGTGGATGACGACGAGGTCCTCCAACCTCCAGCCCAACAAACTGAGGGAGAGCCACTCGGATGTGCACCCGCGGAACAGCAAAAGCAGCCCGCAAAGGCTACCGAGCTGCCCACGAGCGGCGATGCCAAGAGTGGGGCTGCTGCTGAGGATGCCCCGGCCCCTTCTAGTAAGGTCGAGGATAACGACACCCTCGCCACCATCAAGCGGAACGCCAGACTGTTTGTTCGGAACCTGCCTTTTAGTACTAACGAGGATGACCTGCAGACGCACTTTGGACAGTACGGAGAACTTCAAGAGGTAAGCAAGCAGCTTTTCATCCTGTTCCGTACCACTCAATGCCATTCAATCATGTGATGAATCCAGATAGGGACAGCTTACATCAAATGATGGTTGATGCGAACCTTGGATCGGTATTTTAGTAGATGCTTCGACTTTCTGAAAAATGATTTGCGTTCTCAGCTGCACACCCGAACCAAGCGACTGGACTCAGATTGCTAATATCCCGTTAGGTACATTTACCAGTCACTGCTGCAGGCGCAAGCAAGGGCTTTGCCATGGTACAGTTCATGAGTGGCGAGTCAGCTGTTGCCGCATTCCAGTCAACGGATGGTCAGACTTTCCAAGGGCGACTTTTGCACGTCTTGCCTGCTGAGGGCAAGCGTGATGCCGGGCTGGACGAGTTTGCAATCTCAAAGTTGCCCTTGAAAAAGCAGAACCTGATCCGCAAGAAGGCGCAGGCTGCCTCTAGCACGTTCAACTGGAATTCTTTGTACATGAATCAGGACGCAGTCAACGCCTCGGTGGCAAGTCGCCTGGGTGTGTCCAAATCAGAGCTTTTGGATCCCACGTCGGCAGATGCCGGTGTTAAGCAGGCCATCGCCGAGACGTCGATCATCCAGGAGACTAAAGCATACTTTGTATCGAACGGTGTAGATCTCGATGCCTTCAAGTCGCAAAAGCGGGGCGACACAACCATACTGGTCAAGAATTTCCCGTTCGGAACCACCATGGAAGAGCTGAGAACCATGTTTGAGGAGCACGGCACCGTCCTGAGGGTGTTGATGCCGCCTAGCGGTACCATTGCCATTGTGGAGTTTGCGCAGCCAGCGCATGCAAAGGCGGCGTTCGCCAAGCTAGCATACAGGCGCATCAAAGACACTGTGCTGTTTCTCGAGAAGGGTCCCAAGGGCCTTTTCAAGAATGACGCCTCAATAGACATGACGCAGGGCAAGGAGGATCGGCCCACCGGTGTCCAGAAACTCAGTGTTACGGAACTCTTGGGACGGGACGAGCAGGGTGAGGCTGACATTGAAACTACGTCGTTGTTTGTCAGGAACCTCAACTTCTCCACAACCACGGAGAAGCTGGCAGAGACGTTCAAACCATTGGACGGCTTTGTGTCCGCGAGAGTGAAGACCAAGATGGACCCCAAGAAGCCGGGACAAGTGCTGAGTATGGGATTCGGCTTCGTCATCTTCAAGACCAAGGAGCAAGCACAAGCGGCGCTCAAGACTATGGATGGATTCGTCCTCGAGGGCCATACTCTTGCCGTCAAGGGTTCGCACAAGGGCCAGGATGCTGCAGAGGAACGCCGGCGGGAGGACAAGGCCCGCAAGGCAGCTGGGCAACGGACGAAAATTGTCATCAAAAACTTGCCCTTCGAAGCAACCAAGAAGGACATCCGCACCCTCTTCGGCACTTACGGCCAGCTCAGGGCGGTGCGGCTGCCCAAGAAATTCGGCAATTCGACAAGGGGTTTTGCTTTTGCCGAGTTTGTCACACCCCGAGAGGCCGAAAACGCGCTCAACGCGTTGCGAGACACCCACTTGCTGGGCCGCAGGCTGGTCCTCGACTACGCAGAAGCCGAGGCCGTCGATGCGGAGGAGGAGATTGCCAAGATGCAGCGCAAGATCGGTGGGCAAGTCAACAAGGTCGCCATCTCGCAGCTCATGGGCCAGAACAGGAAGAGGGTCAATATCGGAGGCGACAACGTCGACGAAATGGATATGTGATAGGAGGGGTTGAGGAACATCAACAACTCGAAAGGAGAAAATAGAAGCAAATCCAATACCTGTCTCTGGAATCACACTGTGGGTGCTGTACCGATCTTTCCTACAGACAACTACACCACCGTCACGTCATTGAGTATTTCCTGCAAGTGACATGATATTGATACCAGTCGACAAGCATGTGCCCTGCCTGTTCCCCCTTTCACTCTCCTCTTTGCCCTCTGTAGGATGTCACTTTCTTTAGCTTCTGGCTCTAGTGGCTATCCATCCAGCTGTAATTCTGTATGTAAATCTGTCTCGCTCATCCCTTGCCCCGCGATTCGGATCCCTGTCCACCCCTTGTCACCCTTCCGATCAATCCCCCCCTTCCAGCGCCCCTCGTCTAAAAAATAAATCGACCCGCTATTGAGGGCGCCTTTTCCCCGTGGCACACATTACCCGCGGCGGCGAGAACGGAAGCCAGGAGGCTTTTGTGTTAAACGGTCGGTGGGGTTGCGGAGGGCGAGTGCAGCTCACTACAGCCTGTGCTATTTAGCATCATATGCGCTTCACCATTGGACGGGTCATAGTAGAAACCGAGGGCGAAGAGGCGGGATGGTATAGGGGCTGGGGAGCTTCTGCCTGTCATCTGCCCTTCTCTTTCTGCCTGCCCGGTCCAGCTGGACGAACTCTATCTAACTAAGTATATGTCCCTCGTCGCCTCCTTGACCCGCAAAGCAGGAATGCACACATTTCCTTCCTCAGTGCTCTGTCTCTTTCTAATCTGGGCAGCATGCCAACGTCCTTGTGCACTATACCCTTTCTTCTATTATGTGTCTGATTTCATCTCTTACTTCTCTCTTCCCCGCTCAGTACTTTTCATCTTGGAAGATTTGTGGTGAAGATAGGTCTTAAGCCAGCACCGTGTTGAGAAACCTTCAAAGCCCCATCAACAGTTGAAGCTTGTCCATTGTCATTCTCCTCCCAGCCTCGTCTGTCTCCCAGTGGATATGATAGCAGTTGGACATTTCTGAATGAGGCGTGGTGGGTTTGGTGGTACTTGCTGAACCAAGAAATCGCAGCTTACCCGAATTGGCAGCAAACGCTCCTTAGACCAACCCCTTGCATGTTCGGCGCCCTCGATTCGTTCACCCCTCCAGCTTGTATAGTTCCAACGATATTCGCCATGTGGGGATGTCCCTTGTCAGACTAACAGACGTTCGTGTATAGTTAGGCGACTTAGTAGTTGTAGGGCGAAGGGGAAAGCCCATCCAGCTCATCTTGGGCGTTCGGTATTGGCCAACGCCTGCCTCGAGGGTGCATTCCTTCTAAGCTGCCAAGTCATTTCAGTCAGATTTGAGCCTCGCACCATCGTTGGATCTGCCATTACGACGACCCTCCTCCCTAACGGCCCAGAAGCACGCCCACCCAGCACCGTCCTTACTTCAGAGCTTCTCACCACTTTTTACCCTCTCTTGCTTGCCTGCTGGTCTTTCCCTTGGCACCCTGGATAGCCACTCTCGGATCCCCATCCGACTTAGCTTGCCGGAGCTTTCTGTGTCTATAATTCTTTACGTGCCTTTCTCTTCCTAGAGTTACCTCTTTCTGAATGTGTCTTGCCATCGGCCCCGCCATCCCTTTGCTCACTCAGGACCCCATTTTCCACTCCAACAGCTTGGGCGCGAAGTGACATCTGCCATCCACCCCGCTCAGAGGGGTATAGTTCGCAGGCGTCTCACAGTCCGGAGCCTCGAACGGAACCCTACGGAAGCACATGCTCTGTGTCTAGCTGTTCCAAGGAGGACAGGGCTGGGAGATGTTGACATTCGTACCCGGGGAATGGACGAGACGGATGATAAAGCAGACGGCTAGGAAGGGGGCGTATGTGTTGCCGTCCATCTGGAACCCGGGGTGCCGAACCAAATGGATGGCCTTTCCAAAGCTCACCATGCACCCACTCTGCCAGGTCACCCCATCGCTCTCTTCCTCTCGCTCGGAAAGCTAGGGACTTTGTGGATAAGCCTGCCCAGTGATGTCGTTCGTTCCCTCGCCTCCTCTCTACCAGACATTGAAGCGGGTGTACCTGACTTCAGGAACTTATATTGACGTACGCCCCATGCCAGTCTCATTCCTTCCAGACTCTCCAAGCTCTTCTCTTCCTCTTCCGCCATCTTTACTTTCTATCCTTTTGCCCGGCAGCACCAGTAAATCAAAATAGAGAAGCACTTTCAAAGCAGTTCCCAGAGCTGTGGAAATCAAACACGCTCCTTTCATCTTTGCCCTTTTCCTAATCAGAAAATACCATCCCAACGCTCACTTTGTCATCATTACCCCCCATTCCAGTCCTTCTCGAGAGGAAATTTGCCACGAGGAATTCATAATCCCGGAGCATATCACGCTGGAGATCAAGCATTTGCAGTCGCCTCACTTAGCAACAAAACCCTTGCCTGCCCCGTCACGGAATTCCTGAACAGTCATTCCTTTCACTTATCCTTTTTGCCTCCCAACTTTCCTTCCATTCTTTCAGTCAAGCTTTCCGTGCTTGTCAAGGAATCCGTTTACAATCCAGTCGAACTGTCTACCGTTGGAAAAGAAAGAAGACCAGGAACGGAATAAGTTCTACGCATCAACCAAACCCCATACCATCCATCACCCTTCGGAGGAATCCCCAGCAACACGAGATCAACGCTATATACCCAAGAAACGCACAAATGGAGCACCCGCGTCCAATGCTCCCGTCCCAACGCTACTCTCCCTCGCCCGTATACAGCTACGACAGCAGACGATGCACGCCGACGGGGAGACAGCCCCTGAAGGAGTCAAATGGCAACGCCCAGCCGGCTGGCTCTCATCTGGGCAGCCTCGCATCTTCATGCCGCAATAGCCCCCTTGGCCTATTCTCTCCTAGCTTTACTGGCATACCTACACCACCCATTGTGCCGTCTCAGGCCGGGGTTGATTACAGGACCAGCGGTAGCATTCGAAGGCCAGATGCCCTCCAAATGGCCAGACGGGCACGGCCTGACATCAACCCTATCTACTATGCTCCCGAGTTTCGACCCTACCGTGACAAGCAAGATCAGAAGGACCCCAATGAGAAACAGATCTGGCCTCGGGTATTGGAAGATGCCTTCCTCGATTGTAAGATTTCCCACATTGAGTAGCGCGGTACCACCCTTGCTGATGCGATGCCTAGCCCTGCTTATTATCCCTCACATGGGGAGGAAAAAGTACAGCATGCAGGGCAAGCAGTTTGGACGGAACATGCTCATCAGCGAGTATCTTTGGATCGCGTACTGCGACAGCCTGCAACCTGGACAGAAAGCAGAGGAGCGGAAGAGGAAGCAGGTATCAAGTCACATCCAAGTCGTCAAGAAAATGTTTGAAAAGCACCGGTGCTGTAAGTCAGACATGAATCATATACAGACATCGATATCTAACATTTACCCAGACCACTTCTTCTTTGTGAAAGACCCTGACAAAAGCGAGGCCCGTCTCAAGGATAACATGGAGGTTGCCTCGTTCAAGGACAACCCAGTTCTGATCGCCCTTGCTGAAGGTCGTCTTCCGGATGTCCGTCCCAATTATAAATACTTTGCGCAGATCCTGGCCATGGACTCCCTAGTGGTCATGAGACCCAAGACAGCCTGGATCTTTGTTGCCTCCAACAACGTGAGAATGGACGAGGACGGCGAGATTTACGACCACCACGGCAAACCCCTCGACAAGAGCTACTATCCCCACTTGGAGAAGAACATGCACAAGGAGGATGGAGCTTCCAGAGGCCTTAATGGTAGCATCCTCTTGCATGAGTATAACAAGGAACTCTCCCAGAAAGAATCCGCCGCCGTCACCGAGCTGGCACAAGAATGGGAGACCAAGTTCCCGGCTCTACACGAGTCGCTTGAGTTCGCCATCCGCGATAACAAATGGCTCGACATCCTGGAGATGACTGTTACACTAGAAATCCATCCTCGTAGCAACTTTCCCGCCGGTTCGGAGCTCAACGGCTTCGTCGAGCTAAGCATATCTTTGCCCGCGCTACAGAACCATCGCTGGAAGTGCGTCACGAAGCTGGCACGCCCAGAAGAGCTCCGCCGTGCCGAAACCGACCGCCTGATCGTCGAACAGACGAGCGAGGTGGGAATTCAGTACACCCACCGACCCGGATGCCAAGAGAACAAGTTTGAGTGTGACTGCCGCAGCCGTCCTAGGCAGGACGTCCGCGTTCCTTTCCCTGCGGCCGAATGGGCCAGCATCCTCAGCACATGTGCAGGCTATCTTGAGCCCGCGGAGAACAAGGCCAAGATCGAGGACGACGAGGATAGGTCCAAGGCTGCCGAAGACGCCGCGATCGAAGCCGAGAGAACCACCGCCGAGTTGATCCAGCAGGTCGGCATGTTCCAGGAGCTGTGGTCTATTCCGCCTGACAGCTCGGATCGCCGCGCGTGGACGCGCCGTGGCATCATCCTATGGAAGTTCCGCACAATCCACGCGTTTGACGACAAGTGGAACCCCATCTTCGAAAAGCCGGTGCCCCCAAAGGGCAGAAAGCCTGCTGACGAGGAAGACGAGGAGCAGGGCACTTCGTCCCGACGCGGTGGTCGGTCTAAGCGGGTTTTCAACCCGCCCGGCACGACCTGGCGGTTCCTGACGGCTCTGGATCCGGTTTCTTCTGCCCATCAGCAGAACGTATGCATCAACCCCGCGGCTGCCCCTGGCCGCGATATGCTTATGGCCCCAACACCTCCCTATTCTCATCAACTCGCAGCCGTCATGAACGATAACCTGACCTCGGCCTGGGACCCCGTCTCCATGTCTGGTCAGCTGCCTAGCCTAGCATCCACTGGGACACTTGGATTGATGGACAACTTCTCACACGGGCTGGCGACGCCTCCCCCAACGGCATCAATCCACTCGTCGTATGCGAGCAGCTATGACGGCAGCCATGAGCTGGCAAGCGGGTCGCATCACCATCATCATCAACTTGACTTCCTCGCCGCAGCCTGCACCAGCTCCATGGATAGCCAGAGCACTCTGGTCACCGATATGGGTCCCGCTTCCGCTGACCCTTTCCTGTCGGCGACGGGAGGCATTCAAGTGTCAAACGGCGTCGGCGTCGGTGTGTACGACGAAGGTGAGGTCGAAGGGATCTCCGATTGGGACACTGCGACGTCGTCTTTCCACAGTCTCAATCACTGGAACGGCTGGAACGAGACCTCGGACACAAAAACGCACCAATGGCAGAACGAGAACCAGCGCAGCGCCGCAGCAAACGCCAACCTCTGGACCGAAACTAAGGATCATCATCAGACGTGGAATCAGCAGCCATGGGCCCAAGCCGTCTCGGCAGTTGCTGCCGTTGCCGGCACGGACGGCAGGTCCGGATGGTCGCCAGTTGACCAGCAGCGCGGGCTGCCCTCGTTGGACCAAATCACCCCGCTTAAGCCCATGTCCGGGATGAAGAGGGCGCGCTCTAACAGTCTCGACATGGAGAACCGGGAGAACTATCCCGCTACAGCAATCCAGAAGCTGGTGCATCACCGAGCGCCAGCAGCTGTGATGGATGAAAGCGGTCACGGACACCGAAGCTGGGAATGAAACGTTCACAAAGTGACTACAAGGTGGAAGACAGTATAGCCTGCCTCTGGAAACGAGTCTCTTACTATTCCAGAGCTTTGTATGATACTTGTATGCGGCGGGCATGCGAGTAAGGTGTAGGTGGGTGGTGGGTGGGATGACTGACGGCCGATTCATGTGTGAAACGCTTAGAAGAAAAAACACAAAAAGAAAACCCTCTATAAGAAGAGTTGGGGGGGGAAGGAGGGGGTACATTGTAAGGAAGTGGGGGAAACCCGTGATTTGATATACTACTGGAAAGAAACGACACCCTTTGATACCATAATTTTGTTTTGTGGAGTTAGTATAGGGTGTGCTTGTGGAGCTTAGGCTAATGAAAACAGAAGACAAATCTTGCTTCGGTTTCCACATCACGGCTACGTTGGTCCGACAAGACGGGATGTTTCTCCCGTCGTCGTCCGCGCTTGCGGGCTGCGGGATGGGTTGGGACGGTCCAGAGGGCTTGGTTGAGGGATGAGATGAAACGCTCAGAACAGAGGCGGCAGAAGGCGGATGGATGGATGCCTTTTCATGTACCCACACTCGGGTGTTCCCCGGGTGAGAGCACTTTTTTTTTCCCTTTTTCATCAGCGTTTGAGGTGATGGAAGTTTAAACATCAGATGACCCCCTGTGTGCCAAGACAAGTGTTTTATGATACGTTGTATACACACCACCACGATTGCCAACAAGAGTGGTTTTGTGTTTCTTCGCTTCGCATTGTTGTGGGCATCGCGGCGGCTGCCCAGCCTATAGAGGCGAATGTGGTGGACTCTTCCATCATGGCTGTAGCGCCCGGACATAACGGTGCTGATATTGCCGGCAACTGGGACATTCAGTTGCATATTTCATTCGGAACAACATAATGAGACGCGGGACAGCATGAGGCAAAGAGACCACATGAGAGCACGTGGGTGGTTTTTCTTCTTCTTTTTTGCTATGCAATGTGAGTACTCAGACAAGGACGATCAGTGGGCAAGCGGAGGATGTTCGCAGGGTTTCCTCTTATCTTAGTTTACATAGGTTAGAACAGACGAAGGTTGCGAGGGTGGTCTGAACAATGCGAATGGCAGCAGCGGATGAAACGATGCATGTCTGAACAGCGTTGGCGGAGGTGCGTACACACAAGTGATAGCGGGAGTGGTGGCAAAGATGGATGAAAGGACCGAACAGCCGCGTGCTTGATACACGACCCAGCCAAACGCAGAGTCGAAGTTACACTAGTGGTCGATTGAATGCCGCAATTCTTGCGGCGGTACAGATAGAGCAAGTGCCATCTGGCTTGAGCCTCAGCCGTGATTTGATATGGGCAGGGGAAGGGGAAAAGAAAAGCGAGGACAACTAGGATGTGCACAGACGATGAGACAAATCCGATTTGTGTGTTCTGACCAGCGGGCAGAATTCCATTGTAGGCTTGCTGGGATATTGCCTGATAACTGACATATCCAGTGCATTGCGCTCAGAGGCGCAGGTGACATGCATGGTTCATGGTAGGTGGCGTGGGCCTGTGTTTCGCGTTGGGTTGCATTTCGCTCTTCTAGACGCCGTCCAGACGCACAACGACAAGCTTTTACCTTACGCAGGAGGATACCCTTGGTGGTCTGCGGACATTTGACTTGCATATCGGAGTAGATAGTGGTCCGTTTGGGTTCGCCGGTGTTGATCAAGATCTTCATGCCGGTGGTCGTCACTGTAGCTCATGAAGATCTCTGGTGCAGGATTTGAAGCAGGTCGGTGCTCCGAAGTAGGTAGGTAAGTTGACACCTAGTCTATCCGTGACTCCGTCCGCGGCAATACACACGGGGGTTCTTGGCTGAGGGAGGTGCGTCGGCGAAGCATTCGGGTTTCCGATTTGGAATGAGAGAGGTCTGCGATGGAGCACACTGGTCAGCATATTAGTCACCCGGGCGGCATCATTATCCCTGGTCCAGTCCAATTACGCAGGCCCCGCCAGGCGGTTGTCTGCGCCAACGGTGGCCAATCGAGTAGACCGGCAGACCCTTGTTTCCAGGCGGCGCGGCAAAGCAAAACGGTGAGTACACGAGGCCGGGCCGGCCTGACGGCCACGCCTCGTACGAATAGACGAGGCGAGGCACGTATAAGAAGAAAGGTGAAAAAAGTGGTCGAAGGGAGTGGCGTTGGCGCGTCGATGGTGGAACGAGCAGAAATGGAAGGCAGGCAGTCTTGGATGGGGTGAGAGGTGCCAATTTTGGCAGGCGCCGTCAACGTGCAGAGCGCGCTCGTTGCCAGTCAAAGTGGTGCAAGACCCTTGCGTCTGGAGGTCGCGTATTTCGAGCAGGGGCCGCATGGACATGGTTGACTGGATGAGGTGCATCGAGGCCTGTCTAGGTACCTAACTCTTGGAGAGGAGCGTGGGCTCCCCCCCTTGTTCTAGATATCTTGCTGTGAAGCATGGGGCTAAAGTCTCCCACCCATCCGTTTTAGCCTGCAGAGGTTGTACGGGTTTCGGCATTCGTTGCCCACACGCGCCAGGGTAGAGTAGAGCAGAGGCACCACAGGGCCCGTGGCGCCTTCTTACCTAGGTAGGTACCTAGTGGACCAAGATCGGTGCAATCCCCACGAGGGTCGGTACCTTGTAACGGAAGAGCAGCACCCATTGGTACATCTGGCCCCCATCCGTACCCCACCTGCGCGCCGGATACGACGTTAGGACGATTCGATGTCCCGTAGCCTGGGCCATCTCCCGTGCAGTGCTCCCGACGTCTGCCCGACCTTCAAGGCGCCACCACCTCGGCCTTGCCAAGACGTACACTTCAACCGCGGCCGTTCCTTGTCAAACATCAACCGCGGGACCTTTCGTGCTTCGTGCTTGACTGGCGCCCGAGACCTCCCATCAGAAACGTACCCTCTTCTTCGTCCCATAGTATGCCCCGTCCGACCCCATGGCCGGCCCACCGGCACTCGGGCGGTATTGTATGCTCTTTGGCCAGTTTCCCAGCATTCCCCTGTCCGAGGGCGCACCTCACTTCCCACCGCTGTCGTTTTGGATCGCAACACCAAGATGTGCCGCATGGGTCTTAACTTGTCAGTCCGGGGGCCCATTCGCGTCGGTCGATCCCGACGCTGGTCAACGGGTTGGGCTGTGAGCAAATAGAAGGAGAGACGGTTTGAGTCTAGATCTGTAGGGATATCCAGGGCAAGGCGGCAGATGCGAGCCATACGGCCCTGCTGCTTCCTGGATAGACAGTCGTGATATTAAACCCAACGCGGCCTCGCTTCCCAAAAAGGTTTTGTGTTCCTGAACTCACCTCATTTCCCTCGTCGACCAAACACCTCTCTCTTCGGCCTCACTAATTCGACAAGAGGAAGAAACAATTCCATTGTTTCCCTTTTGCCTCAGAGGCCTATTCTCTCGACCGCCTACCTAGTCTCCTGGCTTCCATTGTGCGACAATTGAGGCAGACAGGCATCCTCCTTTATTTGTTCCTTGTCCCCTCTTCTGCACGACATCGACCGCTCGCTCTTGCCTCTTTCGCCTTTCAACCTTACCCTCACCCTTAGGTATCACGTTACTGTCTGGACAAGATCAGCCCGCCTTATGTAGCAGCACAAAGCCTCACTCATCTCTTATCTTTTTATTCTTGACTCAGCTGGTATCTGACTGCGCCGGTCGTATTAATCACCTTTTAAACCCTGAATTACTGTGTGTGCGTGTGTGTACAAACAAATAAGTTGGTTTTGCAACACACCTACCTGCCCAGTCGACAAATATTCGCCCGCCTCATCAAAAGCCCATCTACTTAAGGCAGACGACCTTTTCTCAGCCAGCCTCAATAACTACGTCATTGCCTCTCTTCGATTCTTCTGGAAGACTTGAATAAAAGAAATCGACTCGTTCCTTCCTGCTCAGCAGCTAGCTGCCCACCTGGTTTGTTTACCTTCCTTCCTTCCTTCCCTTCTAGTCTACCAGCGCCAGTCCCTAACGTCTTTTTTTTCATCTAGCAGAAAACCCTTTCTCACTTTTGAGATTCTCTCTTTTCTTTCTTCTCTCCATACCCACCACCACACTCTCACGACGCTTCCTTTGAAACCAAATCGCGAGTCCATCAAGCTCTTTACATATCCTTTTACTCTGCGAGTATCAACATCATCACTTTCAAAAGTATCATCCTTCACAAAAATTCCCACACTCTTCCCATAACTTTCACCAAAATCATCATCATCACCAAAATCACAATGGTTCGCCGCAACCTCTTGGCTGTCGCCATCGCGACCATCTTGGGTGCTCCTCACGTTGCTGAGTCTCACACCTGGGTCGAGCAGCTCAACCGAGTTGCTGCTAACGGTACCCTTGTTGGTCCTGCTGGCTTCTCGGCTGGATGGACTGGTCGCATGAGCTCTGCTTTCAACGACGCTACGTTTACCAACCGTATCCCGGGTGATGGCTTCGCCATGTGCAAGCAGCCCGTTGGCCAACAGGTTGAAGGCTTCCCCGCCCTCACTGCTGCTCCTGGCGACTTTGTCTCCCTTCGCTACCAGGAGAACGGCCACGTCACTCTCCCCAACACCCCAGAGAACAAGCCCCTGAACCGTGGCACTGTCTTCATCTATGGCACCACTGAGCCCAAGGCTGATGACACTCTCTTCGACGTTCATCGCCAGTGGACCGCTGATGGCAAGGGTGGCGACGGCCGTGGCCGCCTCTTGGCCACTCGCAACTTCGATGACGGTCAGTGCTATCAAATCAACGACAAGTCCATCTCACAGGAGCGCCAAAGCAAGTTCCCCCACGAGGCCGCTCAGCCCATGGGTCGCGATGTCTGGTGCCAGTCGGCTGTTCAGCTGCCAGAGGACTTGGCCCAGAACTCCGACTACACCCTCTACTGGGTTTGGTCTTGGCCTACCCTCACCCCTTCTGCCCACGCTGCCTCCAAGAATGGCCAGTTCGCCGACTTTCCCGCCGGCTTCACCAAGGATAAGCGCGCTGCCACCTCCAAGGATGTTACCGTCGCCGAGCTCTACACCAGCTGCTCCTCCATCAAGGTCAAGGGTGAGAAGCTAGTCAGTGGCGTAAAGTCAGCCTCCAAGTCTACTTCCAAGTCCGGCAAGGCCAACGGCAAACTTGCTGGGTTCAATCTCCTCCAGAAGCCTGACTACAACAACAACGCAGTCAAGGACCAGCTGGCCAACCAGTTCCAGGTCCGCGTCGACGGCCAGGGTGCCCCGATCAGCTCGAACCCTAGCAATGGTACTCAGAGCAGCGCTCCAACTGCCACTGCAGCTCCCGCTGCCCCAACTGGAGCCACCGGTGTCACTAGCAAAGTTCGTGTCGTCACTGTTACCGTCACCGCTCAGCCTGTCACTCTCTACTCGATGGTCACTGTCACTGCTTATGCACAGTCAACCCCCGCTCCTGCCAAGAAACATGCTGGCAATGAGGGTGCCGCTCAAGCTGATGTCACCCCTTTCCTTAAGGGTCGTCACATTCGTCACAGAGACTCTTGGAAGTTTGGCCAGAGCGACTAAGCTTTTGGGGGTTGAATCACGCAAGCACTGTCATGGACGCAGCTTGCCTCAACAACTCAACACTCAACTGTTCGCATGATTCACGAAACATTTTCCTTCTTTCACTTCAACAATACCCATCATTCTCTACCACTCTTTTGGAGTTTGGGCTTTTTCGGTCTTTCGACCACTTGGTACACACGGTTACAGGCATTACGTTCTCCTCAACTTTCCGGCATTCACAGCTACGGAATTGGACAATGGTTCATGAACAGGAGTATTACGGCTTGATTTGGGATTACAAGCATTGGCCCTTGTGGACACTGGGCAGGTTTCCCCCTTCTTCTCTTGACAACTCGGCATATAAACGGAACGGCATTTCCGGCGGCGTTGGAGGATAAGGATGATACCAACTTTTTTCTTCTTCTGAAATTGCCTCATTTGAGGATTTTTCTTCTTTTTCATTTGGTTTCGGACAGGTTCATCATCGAGTTTTCAGGTCTCCCACATTGGAATGTGTACAGGAGATGCCTTCATCGACATGGTTCGGGAAGCATATCCCCCATGTTCCTCACACCACTCTACTTATCTCAGCTATTCAGCCTTGTGTCTCCCTACGGGTTGTGCAGATTGACTCTGCACTTAAGGGGTATGAGATGAATGATGGAAAGGCAGAGAAAGGATGATGAGGCAACGCGTTAAATGGTCATAGAACTCTGAGGCTATAGCAATCACTCAGAGGTCGATAGTGATATGGAAGCCAGTTCACTCACTTTGCAATCTTGTCGTGATCCATGTGATTCATGTGATAAAATGTTTGGCTAGCCAGCATGCCCTGGTGTGAAACCTTGTGTGACGTTTTTGCGTGGCTCTTTCATATGTGTGCTTCCTGATTGACTCACTCAGCTTTGGTTCTGTTTACGTATGAAGAGTCCTTTGAATGTCTCAGTTATCCCGATGGCCATGCTAGATATGAACCTCGGAGTTCATACATCACTGCGACAAAGGCATATCTTACGAGGCTTTATGAACTAGCCGTAAGGCAGGTTGACTTTGCCGGAAGCAAGTGACCACCCAGATATGTACAAATCATTTAGGCAGGCAGTGTGAAGTCACCCAAAGAAATGGTATACCTGAGGTTCATCACGATGCCTGGAAAAGGAGTTGCTGGTTTTTTCTATTTCCTTTTTTTTTTGACCGCGTGGGCAGGCCATCCACTGGAAGCATTTTACCGACGGAGGCTACAGCAGGCCTAAAACACCGTTGTCTTGTGGTAGAGGAAAGGCCCTATTGCTCTTTGGAAATACCTCCGATCGGATTGATCCCGACGTGCCAAGTAGATCAACGGTTCGTGTAGGTGACCGTCCAGTCGACCAGGGGATTGCAGGTTTGGCTCAAAGCTTTTCTGCAACATGAGGGGATTTCCTTTAATGACGCACTATTGCAAGAGGGGGTAAGGGGGTTCAATATTCGGGAGGGAGATATAAAAAAACAAAACAAAATGAACAGGTAAGACGATGAGATAGCAGCTTGAGAATTCGTTACTCGCAAACGTAGAGACAGCGCGCAAACCCATCATAAATTTACATTTCACCGCGAAAAAGTCCCGTCGATTCTGCTCAAGGAACGACGCGCCCCTGATTGTCCGCCGTCTCTGATGTAGCTAGACTAACTCCGACACTCGGCATGACTAGGCCCATAGAGTGGCCGCGAGATCCTCAACGGGACGGGCAGTATCACCTTCGTCTCGAAGATTCATCTCTTGTCGTCCAGCGTGAACTCAACCCCTCTTCCGTGGTGCAAGACCCCGAAGAGACGTCCGGGGGAGCCGCGCGCATTGTTGTGCCTGCCATCTCCCGGCCTCGGCTCGATGTCACCGGTCCCTCACACACCGACCACCCACAGGCAAGCAGACGGGCTGCCCCCTTACATCTCGCCGCACTGCGCGATGACAACGTCCTGGTTCGGCTGGTCCTTGCCGCGGTACCCCGTCTTGGTGGACTCCATCATCTTGACGATATCCATGCCGTCGACGACCTTGCCAAAGACGACGTGCTTGTTGTCCAGAAAGGGCGTCGGGACGGTGGTGATGAAGAACTGCGAGCCGTTGGTGTTCGGACCGGCGTTCTACAAGCGCAAATAGAGGGTCTTGTCAGTAAAGCATCGTTACCAAACCGGTGACACGCCTGGTAGAAAGGAGGTGGACTAAAGGGGTGAACGTACAGCCATGGAGAGTAGGCCAGGCTGGTCGTGCTTCAAGTTAAAGTTCTCGTCCTCGAACTTGGAGGATCCGTAGATGCAGACGGAGCCGGTGCCATCGCCGTTGAGGAAGTCGCCTCCCTGGCACATGAAGCCTTGGATCTGCGGAGCGTCGCGGTCAGCCTTGCAAAGCCCCTCCTCTGTTCCCCGTCACGGCCCTTCACACGATGGACGGCGCAACTATGGGACGGGGGGCTATGTGCGCCGGGTAGCGGAACTTACAATACGGTGGAACTTGGAGCCCTTGTAGCCCTGCGGGCGGCCGCGGGCGTCCTTGGACTCGCCGGTGCAGAACTGGCGAAAGTTCTCGGCCGTCTTGGGCACGACATCCTTGAAGAGCTCGAAGGTGACGCGGCCCAGGGGCTCACCTATGTTTTCGGTAAGGCGTCAGAAACTATAACCGGGCGGCGCGGGTGGGCCTGGATGTTTGGCGAGCGGAAGGATTGAGAGCTGGAGGGCGGAGGGCTGAATGACGAGCTCAGAAGCCGAAGGAACTAGAGCCGCAAAATCGAATTGCAGAGCCACAAAATCCCATCGCCATTGAAGACGATGCCCATGGGACAGCGTCTTTGACCATCGCCTCAGCTCGCGTGCTCCGTGACGAGCCGGCCGGCTGGAACCATGGTACGAAAAGGGGCGCTCTCAGCATGTGCGCACATGGGCAGTACCTGCCACTGACTTCAGAGGTTCCAAGAATTTCTCTCTTGGCTCATCCGAAGACGAGACGAGTGACCCTCTCTTTCTGGGACGCCCTTCTCGATCATCTGCCGCAGCACCCGAGAAAAGTAGGTGGATGAATAGAGGCAGTGCCCTGTTAAGGAAAGGTGTGCACTTACCGCCAAGGGTGATATCAAAAAAGACCCTGTTGACACGATTGTGTTAGCCCTGGAAGCTCATATGTTCATGGGTTGGGGAGGTCACAGCTTGGGATCATGGAGATGCCGTATCCCACCCCCACCGGCTTGTGGACAGGAGGGTGGTGTGAACGCGTGATCTCAGCCACCGCCGGCGGTCCGTTAAACCCATACCCTTTGGTGCCGATGAGAGGGCAGGACGGTTCGGTGAGGTCAGAGAGAGGCGCTCCCGAAGGGGGGGAGGGGGGGCGAAGCTCGATGTAGACCAAGGGCTACGTCCAGAAACTCTACTCCGTGCCACGCGGGCCAGCGGAACAGTGGAGGAGGCTGTGGTCAGACTTACAGCGGGTTGCCCGACTCTGGAAGCTTCGTGGGAGGCATGCCTGCGTGTGCGGTGGTATTCCGTATAGGTCGCGTGTGAACGGGATTGGGGAAGTGGTCTGTTTCCGTAGGCGCCGGGGGCTATGCTGTTCTCGGGAAACGAATGGTCAGGACGCTAGGAAGTTGCGGTTGGAGAAGACACTGAAAATAAGCTGGGGATTCGCTGTAAGAAGGCGGGGGGGCAAGCAGAAGAACAATAAAAAAAGGCACATGGATGCGGATTAATTCAGCGGTCGAGGCCTAAGCCGAATTGTCGGAATGGGACAGAACGTATAGAATGTGTGGAGACTCTGAACACTTCCCTAATTCTCCTCTCCAGCTGGTCCGGAGGTGGGGGTGAGCAGAAACGTCAGCGAGATGCAGCCGCCATGCGGAGGACCCTAGGTACTTGTTTGGGCTCATTTGTCCCTTCCGGCTGTCTTTTGCAAGCCTGAACTCAGGGCCTTGCAGACCTGGTCGGCATGCATTCACGCGTGTCGTACCCAGCAGGTTGCCCCGGCTATTGCCACTACATGTGTAAGACAGACAATCGATTTGAGGCAGTAGCTCAGATACTGTCGAGTCAACCACAGAGCCCGATCCGAACCTCATGGCTATAGTCGTTTGACGACTTTTTGACCAAAACAAGTAGAGGAACGGCAATCCCCGAGAGTCGTTGGAGCAAGCCCCGCCATGTCGCTGTCCAGTTTCGTACCCAGGGTATGGTCGGTTGCCAGAGACGTTTGCGTCTGGCGGGCAGATAACGACGCTAGAACTCGGCAGGATCTTGACTGTCCTCATATGTAGGCAAATAAATGTTCTGGTGCAGTTACCGAAGCCCACACGGGCACATCACCAAGAAATGGAGCGAACAGGTAGTAGCGTCTCTGGAAGAACAATGAAGCCGGACGAGCTCTCGTCTGGTATTTTAGTAGCCGTCATATGTCGGCATTAGTCCATAGAGATCAAGACATCAGACCAGGGGACCAGACACTAAAAACAGCAAGCTTGCCGTTGCCTTCAAGTGTCTGATTCCGTGATATATCAAGAGGAGACAGACAGGCGTGGTCCAACGCCAGCATACGGCTACGGTCTACCCATACTCGCCCAATGTTCCGGGGTCTTCGCACTACAGCCCGCACCGGCCCATAACACTCAGCGCCCATGTCTTGCCCCGAGTCATCCGCAAACTTTACGTGAGCCACCATGGAATACAGGACGCTCTCAAGTCTCAACCACCTCGCTGAGGATCACACACAGCGCAACCCCGCAAGCTTGCTCTCTCGGCAGTAGGTTTCGCGAAATTTGCCATGCCCCCGTGCTGCGAAATGTATAGCCGGGCAGGTTGGCGGCACCATGAACAAACCTCGGAACGGATATAATTTCCCGAAGGGCCGTCTTCCGTTCGCCGTTTATCCGAGCCGTGGCCGGGGTCGTCGAATATAGAGTGCTGGCCACACAAACTCGGCGTCCTGACCCCGGACCAAGCACGGCACTCGGCTCGGGCATGTCATGAGTAAGGCCATTGCAGCAGTAAGGGCGCCCAAGAGCAGATAGGGACGGATGGTGAAAATGTCATGTTAAGCTTCTCCAGTTTTGCAGAAAAAGCTTGGTCGTCGTGGTTGAAACGATAAACCAGCCATATACACGTTAGCGTAAGCCTTTGGCGACACGGGCGGCGAGCGAAAGAAAAGGTTAGCCAAAACGGCGTTGAGTTCGTCTTTAATCCCAGGGAGACCCCCTCCTTTTGTTCTCCCCCCCATGTATCCGTATTTGTGGAAGTTTTTCAAATACCTGTCGTTCATGTGCCTTCCCCTCCTGCTCTCGGCCGCCAGTTGAAGGGGGAGGGGAGGCCAACAATACTCTGCACAAGGTCTCGCGTCGCTAATACATACGAGCTCCACGCATAGCGTAGCTTTCTTCCCTTGCCGATCTGCCATTTTAGCGAGTGCAATTTCTCTTGAACGAAAAAGATGCAGAGAGCCCCGCGGGTTCTGCTGCAAGCTGCCGGGCCTGGGGCCGAAGTGAGGGGATGCCCAAGGTCCGAATGCAGAGGCCGCGTCACGGCAGTCGGGGTTGCTCGCTTGTCGCATGCCCAGCCTCTCTTAACCCTAGGCTAGGGGATTGGGTTTTGCGGGCCTTCTGATTCGGATTCGTTGAACTATTTCGTCCCTCTCCGCTCTTGTGTCCATTGTAAGAACAGAATAACTCCCTCCTAAGAGAACAAAAAACCAAAGAAAGCCGAACCCTCATGACAGCATCGATAGCCCCTACGGGCGACGCAGAACGCAGCGTCTGAAAGACCGGGTTGGAGCACTCGGACATTCGCTGGCGTTTTTCGTTACCTTGCTGCCGTTGCATCGCGCTGCCGTTATCGTGGCAGTTTGACTTAGTAGTATAAGGTGTAGCTAAATAAGGCCTAGGTCGGACGTCCCCTGGATGTCACGGCGTCAAAGATCGACGGCGCAAGGCAAGGTTGACAAATTTGGAGAGCCATGTCGGGTTCCATACAATGAGCTCAGCCACTCTTGCTAGCAGTCCGATGGGCACTGGCTCGGTGGAACGCGTCCACATCGTCTTGGACCACGATCCGCAAAACGGGTTCCAAGGACGACATTTTGGGGCCTGCGTTTTGTTTCGGACGCGGTTGGTTCCCCCGCCCAGCCCGGCCCAGCCCACACATGACCGGGTGACAGAACACTGGCCCCCATCCAGGTTGATCTTCCCGGCGTCAAGGAGGATTCCACACTAGTGGTAGGAGGCAAATCGACCCCAGATCATCCGAATGCCGGTGTTCGGCAATGGTTAGCAGCCAAGGTTGGCGGTTGACGATGTACTGCACGATGTGGGACTAGCGAATTTGGAATCGGCAGTCTTCTCTGCGTCTGCACAGCCTGGCGCCACTCTTAACCCGGGCAAAACCAAGCAAAACAACCCATGATGACATCGCCATTCTGATGTGAGAAAGATAAGTATTTGGCCTCCGCAAGACTCGTGGTCTGACATCACGATGCCGAGGTTGCAAGACAGCTCGTGCCATCCGGGAGGTCGGGATGGCGAACTGGTCAGGCGGTTGACAGCATAACAGTGGGGCTGTGGGAAGTCGCGGTCGTTGCCCGCTTCCGCGACTTCCGTAGGGATAGTTGTGGCATGATTACTGCCAGTTGTATCTATTCAACAAACATACCTAATGTTTGAGTAATGGTGAGGGATATCAAATGGTCCGTCTAGAGGCTTCGGGGTTTACGGGTTGACAGCGTTTGGCGCGGTATAGATGATGATGGTATGATCCTGGTTGTATCCAGGGAACCTCTGAATTACCTACCCAGCCTCCGGGGGGGGGGGGGATATCTTCCCTTGAGAGAGACTGACTGCTATGTCGGAATTTTTTTCTTCTTCAGTGGGCCGTTCCGTCCGGCTGGTTCACGATGATGAGGGCATTCGTACACATGTGTGAGGGCGCGTCAGTTTTGCATAGTCACAATGTTGACGGATAGCGATAAAGACATGGTAGAGAATTTTCATGGAGGCATATATGTATGATAGAGTCCGTTATCGTCGACCATGCTTCAGATGTATCGGGGAACGTGATGACCAAGCAAACGGGTGCCAAGTCGTTCTTGTCGCCGTCATCAACGGTGGGGATAAGTGGTCCTTACTTAGTACAGGTAGGTCAGCGTCAGCATCCCTGGGCATCGGCTATGGAATCCCTGTACGCACCGTCAAAAGACTATCCTCTCACACTGTCGCTCTGCTAGCCCCGGATCAAGCGGCTCATCCCCACGAGTCACAAAGGACACCGGCTTCATACGTTTCGACAACACCCATACATTTAAAGCATTTTCAATGTTCCCTCCATTGGTCGGGAACCAAGTATGTGAGGCGTGTCAGCCAGCCCATCGCTGTTGCCGATGTGCGCAGTAATATGCGCGCGGTGATATGTGCACGCGCTGGTGGTTGCCAAATGGTTACGTGGATACCGGTAGATGGGCACCCCAGGCACAACCGTGGTGCCCGAGAAGGCTAAGCTTTGCGAGGACGTCTGAGCGTTTCCAGGGGCGGGCTCGATGGTTTTTTGAGACAGGGCTCGACACCGGAGTGTCTACGAGAAACAGCTACTCGCCAGTGAGCTGCAAAGTAATCGTGGCCTGGCATCAGATCAGACGTTCGAGACATGCATGTGCCGTGTTATGTCGCTTTACGCAGTGGCATTACGCTTTTCGTGTCCGAAGTCTGGACCTGGGGTGATGGGCCACGCCGACAGCGAGGCAGCGCTTGGGCTGTGTGGAATGGCACGGCACTGACAGTTCCAAGAGAGCCGCGGATGGCGCCCTTTTTGCAGAACGCTAACGTTGGCCAAGGAGTCAATTCGAGCAGTCAAAGATGATTGGTGTTGGAAAACGCTTGGATCAGCGCTATCGAGTGAGTCACTGTGGCAAAAAAGCGTCGTCTTTGTCTGTGACGCTGAAACATCACAAAGATGAGGTGAAATCAACTACTCATCGGCCCTGGCGTTTCGGAGACACATCCCAACTTTGAGTGGCTGCAGCTAATGTTGTCTACACGCTGTTCATCGTCACGAGAAACGTGTGATTTGTGGCGATTCCAACTTCGGACTGACCGCCTCGTCCAAGTCCAGCACACTGCTCAGTTGCTGGATCTATTATTGACCATGTCTGAGACGTTGAGACATGTCCAGATGAGGCGTAACATGAACTGAGATATCCCCTTCAAGTCGACCAAGCAACATATTCCTTCTTTCGTATGGAGCGGATACATGGATGCTCCGCTTCGGTTTCGTTAAAGCGGGAAGACAAGCCGCCGTTTAGTTCCTGATGGGTTGGGTGAGGAGCATGGCGATTTAGAACGCGTCGAACATGTTGCTCTTGGCTTCTTCTTATTCTTCCTTATTTTTATCATCATATTTACCGAGCCTGAAAAGTCTAGTGTGAATTCGTTAGTGCCATGCCAACTAATGACAGAAGCAAGATGTTGATAGCGTGCTAGGCGCAATCCGGTGC